TGGGTTTCTCATGACGAGGAACCCAGAGTCGGGTTCCTTCGGAGGAACCCAGCTCCCGAGGAACCCAGATCGGGTTCCTCCGAAGGAATCCAGCCAAGTTGGGTTCCTCACAATGAGGAACCCAGATCGGGTTCCTCGTCGTGAGGAACCCAGATCGGGTTCCTTGTCGTGAGGAACCCAGAGGTCTTTTATTTATTTATTTTTATTTTTTTTTGGTTGGAGAATTTTCAATTAAAAATTATGTCATGTCAAACCACATCATCAAGAAAAGGCATCCACATTGGATTATTAACGGCACAAAGTGGCCACGTCACATTTTGTAACGGTACCGTGACGGCACGTTAAAATGTTGGGTTTTTTACGGGTTTTGAAAAATTGAGGGTGTGAATAGGGAGGAAAAATTCTAAAAGGTGTTGATCGTGAAAAAAAAAAAAAAATTGAGGGTGCAAATAGGGGCTTTTGCCATCCACAAACTGTTTTCTTAGTGCCGTCTTGTGGCTTTCTTCTTTTTGTTTCCACTTTCCATTTTGCCAAGTGTGACCTAGATCTTTTTTTTTTATTATTATAAAAAATATTATTAGTAAGTTAGTATCTGTTCAAGTATCGATTAAGGAATCAATTTAATAATCATGTACTGCACTCCACTTTACTTCTTACATAGAGAAACGTTACCACTTGAGCCACATGGGAGAGAGGGGAGGGGGGAGAATGCGACTTGGACTGTCTTTGTTTGTCGTTAACTGTTACATCCTAACTAGAGTTTTTTTTTATTCTTTTTTTTTTTTTGGAAGTAAATTTCTTTTTGGATTATCAATGTCATGCATATGTTGACCTTATGTCATTATAGATTTCTTCGGCAAAAACTTCCTTTTAGCCTCTCACCTTATCAAATTTGAAGATTTTAACCCCTTATTTTATATTATGACATTTTTAGTCCTTCACCTTATTAGATTTGTAGATTTTAATTCTTCACCTTATACTATGACATTTTTAGCCTCTCATCTATTAAAATTAAAGAAAATAGCCATTACTTTGTAACATTTTGTTAGTTCTATTAGTTAACTGTTAACTCTATTAACTGACTGTTGATTAAGTGTTAGCTTACAAAAATCTTTTTTTTTTTTATAGCTAACAGAGTTAACAGAATTAATTTTATAATATTTCATTAATTCTACTAACTAACTATTAGTTGATTATTAGTTAACAAAAACCTACTTTTAGTTAATAAAATTAACAGTCAATATAAAGTAAGGACTATTTTCTTCGATTTTAATAGGTGAGAGGTTAAAAGTATTATAATATAAGGCGAGGGGCCAAAAATAAGTTTTTACCGGTTTCTTGGGCATGATTATGACTGGTCATTATTTGGTTAAAATTATTTAATTTTATTTAATTCAATTAATGTAAATAATTAATAATTAATAAGATAATTGATATTTATTATTTAATATATTAAAACTAGTTTATAACATAATATTTTTAAATATCATAATTAATTATTTAAAAAATTATAAACTGATAAAATATCAATTAAATTAAATAATTTTTTGGTGATCCAAATTTCCTCACCCCTTTTTCTAATTAGGAAACGGAAACATCAAGGGAGGGGAAATGATTAAAATTCTAGTTACTTAACTATATATTAGCCGACGACTTAAGTAATTCAGTGGTAATCTCCTTTTACTGGAAGTAAGAGGTCTTGAATTCAAGTCGCATAGTATGTGGGTGGGGTGGGATAAGGAATGAAAAATAGTTGTTTTCCATTATCCAACCAGATAAAAAAAAAAAAACCTAAATACTAATGCATTCCCTCTGTTAGGGAATTGGGCTCAACTTTATTTTAGGCCCATTGGCATGTTGACATTTCCTGGATCCTCGTTGAGCTCTCCTTTCATGTATCTGATGCCTGCAACTTTCCTTTTGTCTTTCTATTTATATAATCCATCCTCAGGAATAGTCCCCCACAATATTAAGATAACAAAGGTTAAGAGAAGGGAAATGAAGTAGGGCATCAGGCATGACCATTTATTCCTAAGATTTTATTCTCAGATAAAAAAGGTAGGATTAGAACTTAGAAGGAAGCTGTTCGTTGTTCTCTTCATTGCTCCACTTTCCCTCTATCTCATAAATGATGTAGGTGTGTGGTTGACAAATATTTAATGATTCAGTATATATTTTATAATGATATAGTTATTCAGTCAATATTTTATAAAGATATAGTTATCTATATTTTGGGCCAATGTTCCATGAAAGCCGACTCTAATACATTGGATCATCTAGGCAAGGTGTAAGGGGGAAGCCCACTTAAAATTCAATTTATTTTTCACTTAGGCGTTTTCCAATATCCAACCAGTAATAATTCTGGCCTAAAAACATGCATAACGGTTCTGGACCAAAAAAGAAAACCCCATGCAAATTTGGTTATTCCGGCCCACAAAACTATTTCACAAACATGATCATAAGAAATAGTAGAGAGAAACAGCACAGAGGGATGATTGCATTACAAAGGGCTGAAATTGTATGGAAATTTTTTATATACTCTGGTTAATTACTCTCTACAGTCAACACAAATGGTGGGATTGGTATCTGCTACTCGACCACTCCCTCGTTGAAACCATAGGTTAATCTAATTTTGATATGGCATTAGTCTGACAATCAAGGATATGTTTGACACACGGAAAAGCTCTTAGGGTATGTTTGGTGCAGTTAGTGGGAAGTTCTTTTATACTTCAAAAGTTTTAGTTGTACTAAATGCTATAATTTATGAAAAATACTATAACTTTTCAAAAGTTAATCTTTTATCTATTTCATTGCAAATCTTAGAAGCATCGAATTGGTGTTTTGTCAGGAGCTTCTAAATTGAGTTTTAATGAAATTAACACATTATTATTATTTTATCTTTATTTTTCTTTTTATTTACAAAAGCAATACCTCTATAATAGTTTCTTTCAAATAGTTTCTTTCTAAGAGAACTTCTATTAAAAACTCTAGGTACACCAAACAAGCACTTAATTTGAAATCTTTCCAGCTCCCAGACCTCTAAAAGAATCCATTTGTTTATGCCTCTACCTTAATTGTTTAATTGTTTTCAATTGACTTTTTAAGTTTAATTGTTTTCAATTGACTTTTTAAGTTTAATTGTTTTCAATTGACTTTTTAAGTTTAATTGTTTTCAATTGACTTTTTAAGTTTAATTGCTTATATTCGCCATAAATATAGTTTTCAATTCAATTACATCTAATATTGTAAATAAACTTCTTTTGACTTTAGATATTTGAATTAAGAATTCATATGTAAACTCTTTTTTATATTTAATCTAGTTTGTATTTCCTAAAAAGAACAAGCATAAATCCATTTTATGAATTTAAGTTTATAGATGCTGAAAAAGAGAAGAAAATGTTAATAGATTCTTCATTCGTAATTTTTTA